TTCTCAGGTGCTCGAGATACATGTTATATGTGCAATAAAATGCATGAGTACATGCAAAGCTAATAGAAATGTCTTTTTGCCAAATACCTGGAGTCAAAGGTTTATGGTTGTGACTGTACATTATGACCCCCTTAAACCTATGCACTCAGTTGGACTTTTGACCAACCTCGTACTTGAATTTGGACTTTCAATATTAAAGGTCAAGTTTTAGCTATGATCAGTCTCTCTTTCTCGACTAGCCAATGGTTATTCTGCATTGATTCCTGTGAAGTATTATATTATTAAAGCCTGCCCTTGTTTGCTGAAGTATGAATCCATCATCATTCTCCAACTCCAAAACCTTTCAATTTCTTCAAGATGCTCGGTACTTCATGTATATGGACTGATGACACCATTTAAAAGGATCCATGGGACTGAATTTATGTACAACATGGCTGAGTTCTTGGATGAAGACATGTTGCTAGCCAATACATTGGATGTGGGAGAGCTTGCAACGTATGTGGTAAAGTAGGTCCTGAGGGCGCCAGGGGCTGGCAGCCTCTTTTAACTGTGGAAGACCCCACAACTGCTAAACTTTAGAACATTCCCATTGCAGAGTCTTTGATGCCAACAACCTCATCAATTCCTGAGGAACTCAATCTACAAGCAGCTCACCAGCTCTTGTCATTGCAACTAGTGTCACCACCCAAAGATAAGGCAAGACCTGAGAAGAACTGGGGTCCAGAGATGGTGTCAGGTGTTCTCTCATCCAGTACTCAGACCCTCTCAAGCATCGACCAACTTCTGGAGAAGTAGGGGTTGAATGAGTATAAAAGGAATTGCCAACCATTGTGAATGTTACCAGTACCTTTGTGGTGATTCAGCTGAGTCAGCCACCTCACCAGGCTTTGCCACTACCAGCACCACCCCTTCTTTGAGAGTTCAAGGTAAATGTAGGGGCTTCAATTTTGATTGTGGGGGTGTTTATCGTAAGAACGAAGAGCATCTACACAGAGGTCATAAGGGAAGCAACACTTCCCAAGCAACCTTGGGATAAAGATCTGAGGATGACAAGTACAGAAAACACCAAAGGTTATCATGAACCACCCTATTCTCGAGCAGATTCTGATGCTGAAAAAGCACTGTCAGCCAGGTTAACCAAAATCTAAAGAACTTTGGGAAAGAGCCAGAATGATATAAAGATCTCGGTGGCAGACAACTGCAAAACAACAGTGACCTAGAGAATTTGTTGTCAGGGATAAGGTGATGAAGAATGAAATCTTGGCTGACTCTGGGTGACTGTATATTTTGAATAATTTATTAATTTGTTATAATTTAAATTGTATTATCTTTCTTCTTTTTTTTGCATATAATCTATACAAGTTTCTATGTTTTACACACATGAGCATGGGTATGTGGAAGATAGAGCTTTACTTTTCCTTTATTGCATATTTCGAGTATTGACTTTTTATGTGTGTTATATTATATTGTAAGAGTGCCCACTGTCCTTTGCATACGTGTTTGTGGAAGACGGGATGAGTGACCCTCGCTTTTTTAAGAATTGTGTAATGTTTCATTGGAAAGCAGTAGCTCAGTATTTATTGAAAATCACAGCATCTGAGTAGTGGCAGTTCTCTCGAACAGGCAATAGAGTGCTAGAAATAGTCTCACATGCTTAACAGTGTAATACTCTTCAATGTGCAGTGATAGCGTTGTGTTCTCTACAGGTGCAAAAGGTGGGTTGGGTAACTGAATTTCAATGAAGTAGGTTTTATTTCATTCAAGTTACCTATATAGCATTTTTTGTGACACCAATTAACACGAGTGGATTGACTTGTGTATGGCGATACATTGTCCATGGTTGGTAGCCACTCCAGACAGTAAATTTACTGTGGACTATTGTAATTGCCAAAGCTGATTTGAATGTATTGATGTAGAGATAGAATGAATATTAACTCTAGAAATGATAGTTTTGTCTGAACAACCTAATTCAGCTAAATTCTGTAAGCAATTGTTCATTTCATGGGGTCTATAAAACACTGTTGAGTTTCACCTTTCACAGATGGCAGCACGTTACCAAATTGTGACTACCAGGAAAATAACCAGTGTTAGTTACTATGATAATAGCACACATTGGTGGTCTATCAAATGCTACTAGTGTATATGGAAGTTGGAAACGTGTAAAGCAATACACATTTTTGTATATGTGTGAGGTTTTGCGTACATATACGAAACATTTCACAGTCATTCATAAGTATTATATAATGCAAAATTAATCAGTCACTAAGAACACAATCAGTAGGCATTTTTGAACGAAAATATGCTCAAAATGTTAAGACCTCAAATTACAAAGTTAGCTGTGGCAACTGATCTGTAAAGCAGTATTTATAGAAATAATGTGCCTGTTGTTTTCATTAATACAGGTGTGAGAATGTTTAAATATTGAAATCTCCGCCGGATGGTGGCTTTTAAGGAAAGAGAAGAGTAATGACTAGGCTCATCCCAGACTTGCCGAAAAATGAGTACGAGTAAGGTGAAATTATTTGTGGAAAATAAAATTCATAAACAGTATTATGTGACATAACAAATGTAAATGTGGTGTACACAAAATATATGTTGGGATATGTTTGATCACGCAAAAGATTTCAAAAATACACAATTTTCTTAACATTATTCCAGTACAAGGCAGTTATAATGCATAAAAATGCCTATAGCATTGTAGACAAGAAGCATCACCTTCATGGTAACATGTAGCTACTCTCTTCTGTGCTGATCTTGTAGCTGATGCTGTTGTTGTGGTTGTTTTTCTTAGTGCAAAGCTACACAATGGGCTTTTGTCCTCCATCAAGAATCAAATCCTTACTGCTGACTCATCAGGGGATACTTAACCAAAATAACTATTATGGATTGGACAGATGGACTGTATTTCAGAAGAATTTAAGTATCTCTGGGTTTGCCCCTCCTCCCCCCCAACATAACTTGTATCTCTTTATTCCCAGTGTTGTAGTGTAATACAAAGATATACAACCTGTAACTTTCCAGTTATTTAAGAATTTCTTCTATCACATGTTTTATGATACATAATTTGTAATGTAAACAATGTAAGGTTAAGAAAGCATACTTGGAAGAGTTATTGTGACTGTAACTTAATTTATTTAATGTTTTTACAAAACAAACATGACAGTATTCCTTTAGAAACGATATTATGTTTACCTCTATAAACAGGTGATGTTTTGTTGTATTAACACTGTGTTATTTCTAAAGAGCAATAATGTAGATACTCATACAAAGCATTGTTAGTTTGGAACTTTGGTAAAAAACAAATTCAATTAGATTATAAATTAAATCCATTTTGCATTATAGTTTGACAATAGAAAAAAAAAAAACATGATATAAATTTCTAAGTTTCCCTGTTTATAGAACACAAAAATAAGATTAGTATATAAAAACTGTACTTTGAATTAGTGGGTTAAACACTTGTTTTCCTATACTATGCTTCTAACATTAGTTTTATATATATATATATAATGATTGTTTGTTTGAAATTAAGCACAAAGCTACACAAAGGGCTATCTGTGCTCTGCCCACCACAGGTATTGAAACCTGGTTTCTAGTGTTGTAGTCCGCAGACATACCGCTGTGCCACTGGGAAGCATGTATAATGAATGACTAGAGATAGCTGTAAAATTTGAACCTTGCTCCAACTGAGAGGCACCATATATCTAGTTGTTAACCTTGAATCATTTCTTTCTAAAACCAATGTAGGAGAAATATCTGAAATAACATATTTATATTATGTATTGTGACTTGTCTAACACATATGCATAAATATAAATATGAAATTAAAGCATTTACTGCAGATTATTATATTTAAAGACTAGAAACAAAATGTCAGTAAAAGCTTGAATGAAGGTATGAAGACTGTATAATGTTTATAGCTGTGTTTATCACTAAAAGTGTGAAGTTCATCTCAGAAAGTAATACCTATTTTTATGAGACATTTCTGTATTTACTGTCTTGTGGAAGATACCTAAAGTTGATATGTACACAAATTTGTAATGGTTTCCAGATGTAATTATTCTTTTCTGGTTCTGCATGACTACTTTTATCTCACATAATGTTGATAACAATCATGTCAGATTTTATGCAAAACATGTCATTATATTTTTGGAAGTTTCTATCTTTATTTAAACAGTGTTTTGTCTATACAATGATGTGTTTTTTAATCATTTTTTGATGAAATCCCATTTGATGTAAAATATCTATTTCCTTACTGTCCAAGTTGCAATACAGTTTTGATATTCATTTGTTTTCCAGTGTGACTGAACTGTTAGTTTTTCTTGAGTTTTAGGCTTTATAGCACAGATGTGGTCATGGTTTATTAAACTCAGTTCAGCTATATGTATTTTTACAGCTTGTTTTTCCCTTTTAAAATTCAAATAAAGAAATTATTACAGTGAAGAATTTGTGCTTACTACTTAGAGTGCATAACATTTGTAACAAGTACAATTCATACGATTTTTTAATACACAACTACAAAAAATAATGGACTAATTAGGAAAACACATTATCTTATGGTTTTTCACTTTGAATAAAATGTTGCTAAAAATCAGTGTTCTGCTTGTTAACAGGTGTTTTTTATTTTTAAAAATAAAGCCTAGCTTTTGTTCTGAATAGTTTCTTAGTAATAACAACATATGAAATCAATGGCAGTTCGAAATACTGTTTTCTATATCATGATAACTATAGAACTGATTGTAATCTTGTAAAAATGTAACAGAATTTTATAATATGAACTTGAATATTTTGAGAGATTCATTGGCATAAACAGTATATAAATTTCTGATGTATGTAATTTTCACAGTGTTCTATGTGTAAATTCTAAGATTATTTGAGGAAAGTTAAGAATAAACTTGTTTCGAAGTCACACATTATTATTAAGTTATTAAGATGAGGAGAAAAAGAAATCTTTCATAGCTCCAAAATATTTTCATTTTTCATAAATATTTTAATGGTGCACTACTAAGAAAAATAAGTTTTCTATATTTTAAAAACAAAAAAAATATTGTATGTAATCACTCTAAAATACCTGTAATAGCAGAACTGTACATATTGAATTATATTCTCAAAATTTGTGTTTGTGCAAATAGTAATTAAAAAACTACTTTAAAAACAAAAATATTTCTGCAAACAAATACTTGAGTTATTTTATCTTGAGCCAGATCATTTACTATGCAGTAAACCCAAATAAAAGTTTAGATAAAATGCATTCTGTTAAGGTGGACTTTCAAGAATTAAACAGGAAGTTTAGAATTAAGTGACAAAAAGGAAAATTTTGGTCACTGTCTTCTATGTTACAAAGTGGATTAAAACATAAATTTCAAATAAATTACAAAATATCTTTTGATGCAATTTTCAACCAAATCTAATGATAGTTAGTATGATGACATCATTCCCTCACTAATGGGCATGTTGATAATTGCTGTGATGAGTGGTACCCCCTCATTTTCTCTGAGGACAAAGACCTGCCAATCAAATTATTAAGAAAGAAATAAGAATACTACTTAACGTACTTGAAATAAACGTATGGTAATTTTAATTACTATTTAGTAAAAAAAAAAACAACATATGTTCCCACAAACTAATCATTTTCAATGAGCAACTCTTGTCAAAATCGAAATATATCATAATTTTCAATATTTAATTATCATTGTGGCTGCAGTCCTGTAATATACATGTTTTTCTTTGATTTGAAATTTAACTGTTTCAGTGCCAAATTTAATAATTTGAAGTATACTTTTCAAAGTCATTCCAAATTCTATAACATTTTAAGGGTAACCAAATCTGAAATCAATGGGTTACAGATAGTAATACAGTTCATTGAAACTGATAAAAAAAAACTAAGTGTACAATTACAAATAAATAAATTCACAATAACGTTTTTAGTAAATGCTGGATTTGTTTGTGAAAAATGATTCTATTATTACAATGTAAATGAGTAGTATTGACATCCAAGTTAATCATATTGACTTAACAGTACAAAAATTACATTTCTAAAGCAACTTCTAACAAGTATAGAAACACCTCCTAGAAAAATTGAAGAATGTAGCATAATTTTACCTTACCTTGATTACATCAGAAATTCCCAGTTCACTAACACATTCTACCTTGGTTGCAGATGAATATAGTAAACCAGGAGCAAGAAATGGAATCTATGACACATAATAAATAAATCATTATTAGTAATGGAACTTTCCAGCTTTGTGACTGAAACAAGTATTTTGGGAGGAATTTTATGAGAAAGAAACTGATACAGAATAAGTAATCTTGATTCTGTAAAAGATAAACAAAAGAAACTTAACAAAGAGCTGTACTGCCATTTATTTTTGTGGTCCAACATTAAAATGTTATTTTTAATTTTCTCGGCTCATATATAATTAATGCTATGCTAAAACAAAAGCATCCTCCAATCTCATGTGTTTGTAACTATTTTAGTTTATCAATTTTAATACGATCCAGTTCTTGCATATTCATGGTATGATATCTATTAACAAAGCAGTTAAAAACTTTTTTATGATATATATATATATATATGTGTGTGTGTGTGTGTGTATATATAATATTATATATATATATA